AGTCTAGGCCCAGCTCTCCTTGTTGCAGTGTATTCCGCGTGGATGTTTCCACTCATAGTGGCAAGTAAGGTGTGCTGGCAGACCGATGAGAAGCGCAACTGTCCTGCAACAGACTTTGACCAATGTTGGTGCTAATGTTGCAGCTGTACACGTTGAAGCACACGTCGTCCTTGTTTTATGAGCTTGCCACTGGGAACTCTCCTCTCTGCAACGGCAGCAAGTTGACTCCAGCTAGGTGATCATGAAATCTGTAAGCATTGGGAAAAACGATTCCTTTTAAGTCAGGTCATAAAACTTTACAAATATCATGGTTCATTTTTAACACCTTGCCTATGTTCACACAAGAAAGATCCCTCTTTCCCAAGCACTAACATCCCAATTGAGTTGGGTTTTGTGCGGAATGCACACAAAACAAAACAAAACAAAAAAAAATGAACACTGCAAGTCACTTACAGTACTTCATACATTGGAGTCAAAAGTACGGTTCCATTTTTCAGAAAAATGTAAGATGCCCAAAATATTTCTACTTCCAGTTAATGTCTTCCAAAATTAGGGTTGAAAGAGCTTATCTTTGCAACTGCAGACTGAGTATGTACAATAAACATGCTACAGTAGAATATTTCATGGACATAAGCTATGCTTAATCGTTTCAAGCACTCATAGCAAATGAAAGACATGAGTGTCTAGACTCTCCCACTAAAATAATGAAATGGAATGGTGATGTGTATTGCAATGCTTGAGGGGTGGGGTTGATACACTTGCCTGTGAGCTAAAGGGAGAATGAAGTTGGTCATAAAATTAAAGACACAGGAAGAAGCTTTTTTTTGGCTTTGTAATTTGGTCCAACATAGCCCAGCGAAAACGAGCTCTAAAGAGTAATCAGACCACACTGGATCTCAGCGCACTCAGAGACATGCCACGCCTCCCACTTCAGGGCACATCTTAAATATATCAGTCACACCATAACGTTTGTCCAAACAAAAGTTATTCACGCTAGGTAGTTTACATTACACTTACTTTGGGACGCTTTACAGTGCAGTTCTTTTCCCAGTGGATTTATCGGGGCCCTGTTAACTCCAACTCCACCTTCATCAGCATGTTCAGTTACTGCAAATGCAAACAACGTAAAATAAATTTTAATTAGTTTTTCTTCCACTCAGCTGCAGAAGTTTCATCAAAAAAGAAACATCGTCATAACACTAGATCCCTGCAAAAACTTTGCCAATTCAAAATCACCCCTAGAGCAATAAGGTATGATCCAATATGTTGGCTGTTCTGAGCAGAATGGTGAAAGGGATTTTCGTCAACAAAAAGTATGATAAATCCCCCATGTTTCCAGACATAATTTCTTCTTTGCTTATATTTATTAGTGAATCCACTAAGAATGGAGTTTTTAAACTTTCATCGACGTATAAACTGAAGTGATAGTGCAGTCATTATAACCATGCTGAACCCAACAAGGTTATGCAGGATTTCGATGGTCCCTAGGGGGTTAGGGTTAAGCATGATCACGCGCGCACAAGCATCATCATATAGGCCTACTCATTTCGGTATCACAGACACAAGTTGACTGCGTTCCTGGATGAAGTTTTTTCATGAATTCGCAATGCTACATTGTCGAGGTAAATTCACTCCTAGCCATTGAAAACTGTCCCTTTTTAAGGGAATGAGAACCTGTCATGCCTGTTTCCCACCCTGACACCACGGATGTTGTTCGCTTACTGCGAACGCCCTGTAATCCACAGATTTTACGCAAGATAAATTACAACACCTTTGATTTAAGCGTTGAAAATGCTGTACAGTTTTTCTCAAGTTTTCACAAAGCAGTTGACTCACACATGAAACAAGTGAGTGGAACGTAACTACAGTGAATATTACACACCATAATCAGCCAATCTAGTGAAATTACGACAAAAAACCAATGGTGTTCACTACCTTATAAACAAGTGACAGAAATTTGCCAAAGCCTTGCTGGA